AAAAAAAAAAAAAGTCGTCCGGCTCTGGGGCATGTCCTCTGTGAGCCTGCAGGAGGCCTCTGGTTCTGAGTGGAGCGAGGGCGCTCTCGTCCAGGACAGCAGGCCTGGGCGCCCGGTCACCTGACCTGAGCCGGACTTTAGAGCGTGGGGCAGGGAGGACATCTCCCCCAAGATGCGGTCAGCAGCCAGCCAGCCGGAGCCCCACGACAGGCCCACAAGTCAACACGCACAGAAGGCCTCAAAGACATGCAGCAAATCCTCCTGTCTCTCCCCATGGAAATTCACGCTCAGGGTGAGGCTGAGAGGCCACGGCCATGCGGTGTTTCGGGAGACACCTGGTTGGGCAGGGAACAGCGTGGCCAATCGTCTGGAAATTCTGTCTCTGGCGTCCAGCTCTGGTGCGTGCTGGCCAGGCTGCATTTGTCACATTTCCTTGGCAGCCTGGGGCTGAGCCTGCAGCCTGCTGCCAGCAGCACTGCACTCTCCCGGCTGGGAGACTTGGGGACACTGTCAGGGAGGGCAGACAGGACCTGGGGAGCAGGTGACGGGGGTGCGGGAGCGGAGCTGTTGGCCAGGCTACGCAGGGGTTTCACCAAGGCACCGCCTACCAGCGGGACTCAGGGCTGCCCCGGGCCAGAAGGGAACCGCAGTGGACACCCCAACTTCCTGGAGTCCACACAGACCCCCCGAGGTAGGAGCGCGCTGTGCTTTCTGGCCAGGGCCTGCAGGGTGCCTGAAGCAGCAGCATCCAAACCTGGGGCTTGTTGGAAACGCTCTTGAGGAAGCAGCCCACAGGCCTGCCCCAGTCCCTCCAGGGCCTCTGGGCAGCTCAGGGCCTGCGCCTGTCTAGCCCTGCCGGTGGGTTCCTCTGGCCACCAGAGAGCTGCTGGTTGTCTGTTTCACATGGTAATCGAGTCAAATTGATGTCATTTTTCCTCCAAACAGAACTTGCCTGGAATGTCTCAGGTTTTCATTCCACTGCATGGTTGTTAAGGAAGCTGAAAACAACCAACCCAAGCTCTGTCGAGCGGCCCTGTTCTGCCAGTCGCCCGCCACGCCCAGGGTTGCTGGTGTCACTGCCACCTGCTTCCGTCTGTCCTTTAGAATACTTCTGGCCCTGTGTCACCTCCTCCCTCAACCACAGGAAAACCAAATCGCCTAAATTTTGTACAGCGAAGGTGCCCACGGCACAGACTGAGGCTCCCCTCTGTGGCTCCTGCCAGCTCGGAGGCCAGCCCGGGGGTGGCCTCTCCCTCTGCCTGTACCTGCACAGGTGAGCCGCTGGCTGAGGACACACCTCCCGGAGTGGGCCTCCATGTCCCCCAGATGAGAGCCAGGCAGAGGGATGTTTAAAAACACCAGCGCTCACCACTCTTCTGCCTACCGCGCCCTCCCCACCCCCACCCCATGCTCGCTGTCCATAGGCAGCGGGCACCTCAGACCCTGGCTCACAGCCTGAGGTCACACTGGGGCACACTGAACCCCCATCCTTCCCGTCACTCAGCAGGAACCGCCCTTCGCTGCCTTCTAAAGTCCAAACTGTACCCCCACCCCCGCCACCCCGCCAGCTCCTTAATGCTGCCCCAGCTAAGTGGCAGTGTCTCGGCATGGGTCTCCCTGACTCCCTCAGTCACCTGCACCCCAGATTTTCACTGCAGGGTATAAAACTTGCACATAAAGTCTCCTGGCTTGTGTGTTACAGCTGTGGGGCTCACTGCCTGAGTCCCACGGGGGGGACCAGGTACTGCCACACGCCCCCAGCTCAGGTCAGAGGGCCGGCCTTCTCCCCTGGCACTGGCCCATCCTCTGGGCTACCCGGGGGGGACCCCCTTGAGCACACAGAAGATGGGAGCATGGCCTTGGGGCTGTGCCCGCACCCCAGGGGATGCCGAGCCCACCGCGTCTGGACTCACCATGTTCATGACCGTGAGGATGAACCTCTGGGCGGCCTCCGCCCCGTGGTACTGCACCATGTCGGCGTCGGCCACCACCAGGGTCTCCACTGTGTGCTCGCTGGTGAGCCGGATGGCATTCCTCCGCTCCCGCAGGTCCCCCACGGGCCTGCCCCTGCTCGGCTTCTTCTTGTCTGGAAAAGAATGGAGATATTAGTGCCGGGCCAGGCATGGGACGGCCAGACAATACTGTGACCAGCCCTCTGGGGAGCCTCCCCACGAACCTGGTCCGTCCCCACTGGCCAGGGGCTGCCCAAGCTCTCTCCGAGGCCAAATGCCAAGAGGGCTCAGCTCCGCCCACCATCACAGTTGAGGAAGGGAAAAGGAGTCAGTGTCATGTAAGAGAAAATCCACCCCTCAGAGAAATGCAGGCAACAGGACAGAGGCAGTGAAGGGAAAGGAAGCCGGGCCCCTGGGAGCAATCGGAGCAGCCTAGGGCCCCTGGCCCAACTGGCCCAAGGGCCACTTCACTGCTGAGCTCTTAGGCCGTGAGGCAGCCCAGGCTCAAGAGAACAGGATATTCCCCTGCAGGTGGGCATTCCGGAAATGATTCCGGGAGTCGTGAACAAATACTATCTGGCCTAAAAGCAGTTAAAAAAATACATAAAATAGGCCTTGGGGTGGTGCAAAGGGTTAAAAGGGCAGCATTGCAAGCTGGCCACAGCCACTTTGGTGCAGATTCAATCCCCGGCCAGGGAAGGACCCACAGGGCGCAGCAGACCTCTCCTGTCACCCCACTGCTCCCCTCAGCAGTGGATTTCAGTCCATCTGCCTGTTCTGCTCCCCACTCTGTCACTGATGAATCCTCTGACCACCCCTGTGCCCCTAGCCTGCACCCCAGTTCTGTATGCATAAATAAATCAATCTTGAAAAATTTAAATAAATTAAAGCAACCAAATCTAATCAGAGGACAATCACTTGGCACCAGCCCTGGCCAAGAGGAGGGTGTCTCTCCTCGGGTGGGGAAGGTTGTGAGTACCTGTGAGTGGCCCTCTGGAGACCCAGAAAACTCACCCCGTGGAAGACCTGCCTTGGTTCTCGACTGCAGCCCAAGCCGCTGGACACCCAAAGCTGCTGCCCGAGGTCTGAGTCCACCTTCGCCGGCAGAGCTCCCTCCCCAGCCCCGGCCCTGGCTGCCAGGGACAGCACCATCTTTCAGGACCCGACTGCGGTGCCGTGCCGAGAAGGCAGCTCTTCAATGTGACAGCTGCTACTCCCCCGTTGCGGCCCAGCCCACAGGGAGGCTGTCCTCTAGAGCTGCCATGCAGTAGAGCAACCTGCAAATGCGCAAACCTGCCCCTCAGGCTGGACCACCTCTCCAGACAAAAGGTCTTCGATGAGCTGGGCCCACAGGTGGCCAGGGGGCGGGACTCTCTCTGGCCCTACCCTGCATCCCCAGCCAGATCACCCCTGAACACAGGAAGGAGGTGCACAGGCCATCTCCACGCTCTCAACTCGGGGTCCTTGCCAGGCACACTCACTGCGTGGACGGGACCAGCCTGTCCAACCTGGCGCTTGTCAAGAAGCATCTCACCAGCATTTGAAAACAGCACACGTGCAGGGCCACCCACGCGGGAATTCTGTTGGATCCAGCGGCCCCCGTGTCCCAGGCGACCAGCCCAGAGATAGGCGCGGTGCTGGCTCTTCTCAAAGCCGGGACTTTACAGCCCATCTCAGAGTCACCAACTCGTTTTCTCATCTGCAGATTTTCTCCCACACTGGCTGCTCAGGCCTCGGTTTCACACCTTGTCATGTATTTGCAGTTCCCAGCCTGCAAAGAGCTGCTTTTTTAGCAGCACCCTAAGAACACATCCATGGCATCTCTGGGAGACGGCAAGCTGGAACACGCACGGGCTGAGCGCTCCCTCAGAAATGCACCTAAAATCCCGGGCTCCAGAGCGGTCAGTCCTGCACATCAAATGCGCCAGGACTCTGCCCCGGCACCACCTGCTCAAGTCTGTAACCGTCTTGACGGAGGACTAATAAGACCCACCCCACTGCTGCTGGAGCCCGGAGAGCTGCTAACAGGCGCAGGGGGCAAACACTGTGGGTTAACGGATTATGCCCGGAAGGCGCAGTAACAGGCCAGACACAATGACCAGGCTCTGTGGCTTTTAAAAGGTTTTCACTACCGTGACCTCATTTGCTCCCTCCACTGCGCCGCCCCTTAGTGCTTGATGGGGAGGGGCGGCATGCTGGCTGGTGAGAGTGAATACTCACACAGGCATGGGGCAGTGGGCGCACGTCAGAGGGCCTGTTTCCCAGCATCAAGGGGGGGGGGGCTGACGCCCAAACCCAGGGTTTCGCCCCTCGGCGCTGCCTGACCCTCCTGACCTGCACTCCCGGGGGTGCACTTGCTCCCTTGCTGCCCCTGAGCTACACGCGAGGGCGAGACCGCAGTGCAGCGGGAGGGGATTCTTTCGGACTTAATGAGCTCGACTTTGCTGCTGTGTTCTGGGGGACTTGACCAGGAAGACAGGTGCTGGCCTCCAGGCACGCCCGTGGCGGGAGTCCTGCTGCTAGGGCAGCCTCTGGCTTACTTGAGGTCCATCTGGAATTGCACCCCGATCCTGCCTGTGTCCCCTCCTCTGAGCCCTCTAACTGGGACAGCTGGCTGTGCACTCACACCGGGGCTCCAGCCTGTGTCACCCCCGAGAGGAGAGCCCCCACGCCTTGACTGAATTCCCCGTGGCCACGCAGGTTTCAGAAAGCATTCCTTAGATGCTGCAGTGCAGCGTGCTGTATATGTGCAGACCTACAGGCCTCCTTTGGGGAGGTGGTCCAGGGCAGCAGGCCCTCATGAAAGACACTATTTCTGCCGTTGAATAAAGGGAGGCAAATAAAGATGTTCCAGAGACTTGCATGAGTGAGGCTGTGCCATGTGAAGTCAAGATTCCTGTGCTTTGAATTGCAGGAGACTCTTCTGCACAGAGGTTGTTCCTGTGGGTGGGGGTAGCTGGAAGGTAGAGGGAGCCACCGCCCCCTCCCGTGCCCTTTCCTGACCAACCACTCCACCAACAGGTGGCTGGGCCATCACTTGCCACGATTCTTCCTTCCTTGTAGGAAGAATCGAACTGTGATATTCTTACCCTTCATTCCCTGAAGTCTGTAAATATAACTTAATGGAAAAAGTTTCATCAATGCCCATATTGACAGATTAGAAGCATCTTGAAAAGTCTAAAGAATATACCCATTTCAGAATAATGTGGGTGCTGGATTTTGAAGTCCCTGGAGAGATCCAAGTTCAAGGTCCTTGGCTGGGTGTGGGGGAGGCCTCCAGCTATGCTGGTTGCCACTGGAGAACAGGAGGCTGCCTCACTGGAGATGAAGACAGACCTCAGTAGCCAAGGTCTTCTCTACTGTCAAAGACACAGAGATCCTTTGGAGATCTGGTCCAGCACTTCTTTTGCCAGCACATTGCTGGAGTTGGTGCTGACTTGGCAGATTTCATCCTTTTTGAGTTCATATGGTTTTTCTTACATTGATTTTTTTCTTTGCCCAATTATCCACTAAGAACAAAAAAGAAGTCTGAAAGTATTCATGTAAGACACCCCAACCTTTTTGTGAAACAAGATGATGAAAAGACAAGGAAAAAAAAAACAAACAAAAAACTATTGCTGCATGTTTTGCTTTTAGGATATTCAAATTATGATTTGTTCTGAAACCTTGGGTACTATTGCAAATGCAGAACAAATACATAAATGACCATTGTAGTTATTAGTTTTGCTGTTGGTAAAATTTAAAAAAAAAATGAACTGTGAATTATCAAGCTCCATATGGAATAAATACTTCTTGAGTTTTGCAACAAAATAGAGTAATTAGGTATTTGCTAGGGGAAAACAATGCATAGATCACAAAATATTTGTTCTGAGAGCTCAAAAGCCAGGTGTCCCCGCATCTTGACTGGCAGGGCAGATGGCAGGCTGCTGCTGGTGCCAAAGAGGCGGGAAAGCGAGAGGCTTCTAGCTGCAGGGGCAAATTAAAGAGAAGACAGGGAATGGAGCAGCCACCCAGGGGCCCTGAGCACCTTGAGACCCAAGACAGAGGGCCTCGCAGGCTGAGAAGCCAAAACGGAGGACCTAGGGACCAGCAGTCCATCACGCTGACAGTTACAGCAGGATGCAGACAGACTCAACTGCCGTTCAGGATGGAAACAAGCATTTCCCGCACCCAGCCCTCCAGGTCCAGGCGCGCCCAGCTCTCCAGGTCCAGGCATGGTGCGGCCGTGGCCAGTGCGGAGACGGGATGCGTGCCTTCAGCCCTGGCATGAGCAGCACCCCCACCACTCTGACACACGCCCCCAAACTGGGATCTTGTCTTGCACATCTGTTTCCAGCAGGAGGGAGGCCGCTCTCGAGGCTGTAATGCGAGAACTAAGATCGCAGTGACTGACCGGATGGAATCGTGCTGGAGTCCCCAAACAGTGACCAGGGCTGGCGTGGAGATGCCTCTTCTCCTTGAACCCCTCGCTGACTTACCCGCTTTCGTGAAAGAAGAGCACTCCTTCCCCCGACTCCAGCACGCACCCTCTCCTATAAAAACCTTGAAACCGCTTTATTCGGGATGGTGGATTTGAACTGAAAGTCCCATCACCTTAGGTAGCACCATCTTCCATTAACAAAACACCTCCCAGCTTAAGCAGCAGGTCAGCAATATTTTATGGCAAATGTGATGCTGAATTTTGTTTAATTATATCTTTTAGGAACTTTCTAGAACACTACTGGGGCTAAAATTAAATACCCATCAAAGGGAATTATGGAAAAGTCCCAACAGGGGTTCCAAGTGAACCGTCCTGGGGGGGTCCCTGAGTCCAGAGAGAGCAGCAAGAACGCGCGAAAGAGAAGTCGAGGCCCAGATGTCAGCACAACTGGAGAAGGCCCGGGTGAGGGCAGAACCAGAAAGGGGCATGACAGAGGTGGCCAGAGCTAAAGATGCAAGACTGCAGATGGTGACGTTGGCCTCTGGAGTACAGGGCCCCGCTCTGTGGGGGCACACCCTAGGAGGCCCCCCGGGCAGCCAGCCAAGGTGCTGGGACTCTGTGGCTCCCAGGGCTGGTGGGCCCACGGCCATGCGAGGCACATGGGTGGGACTTCTGCTCTCTTTTCTGGACCGACCACATCAACACCAACTCAAA